ATCCGCTCGTTGATATAGATCAACTTTTATGAATCAAGTGACGCGTGAATGTGAACGTAGCACGCTGTAGGTTTTCTGGCAGTAAAGAGCAATTAACGACGCGTCCGAACGCGTCGCGGACGTGACAAGCTGTGACACCATCGCAAAAAGTGTCACACCAAATATCCTGGTCACTGTCCGGGCTCTCCTGCCGCAGCAGAAGCAGGTCCCTTCCCCTATGTTAGAACTGTAAAATCAACATAGTACATGAGATATATATTCAGCCTTTTACAGCTGTGATCCAGTACTTGCTTTGTCCATTAATTACACAGATTTGTGCTTCCTGGAAATCAAGCTCATCTGTATCAAGGATAGGGAATGCACCCACTGGTGTGCACATAGATATGTTCCAAATGTATCTAAAGACAATACATAACTTCCCTAAGCACTCCTTTGCCGGCCTCGGTGAAATTGACCATCATTTCATCCCGATGGTGGTCAGCTCAGGAATAAGAAGAGACAGACATGTTTATATCTACTACAGTCTGTAATGGTAGAATACCCTTCTTGCTGGTTTACAATAGTGATATACATTGCTGATGCATGCATAAGGTGAGAATGGAGCAGAGGAATGCACAAGAATACGAGGGGATACTTGCGACCACCTTTCAGCCACAATCTGCTGACAAATTAACTCGCACCGGAACCGGGCGTTGCGCCTCCCCACAACTACGGCTATGACATGATCTTTTGCGTTATTTTGAGGAATTGGGGTGATACATAATAGTGTGCATATGTAAGTAAATTACTGTGCGGTACCCGGGCCAGGGTTAGCGGAGAAGTGCCCGGCCGCCTTGGCTGAGGTGATCGGGCCTTGGCTGCGGTGAGGAAAGAGGGCGCAGAGATAACGCGAGTGCGATGAGCGGCAGCAGCAGTAGCTGTGTGTACCTATCCTGAACTGCAGGCGCACAGTACAGCAGGCCAAGAAGAGTACACACAGCTGGTTGTAGGGGCTGCACCTTTACAGTGGTCTCTGGAATTGGTATTCCGGATCGAGGGGGTTTCCTCTGTTGGCGTGATTTGCGTCGGGTTGGGTTGGATTGGATCTGCCGGTATTTCAAAATGGGGAGGGAGAACATAGATGGATGGGCATGAAACTTGAGATGGCTCACCAGCTTCTGAGATTCGAGCGCAGTCATGGAACGTCTTGGATATCTCGGACGGCGACTGCCTGGCAGGGCCAACGACGTTATCCGTTCGGACATTCGCACGCCCGTCCATTTACCTGAGGACGAAAGGTAGGCATCACCTTCAATCCAGCCGTCAGATACTGACCATTTTCTACGGCTGTCAGAGATCGGCATGAGGTCGAGGGATACAGGATGACGGTGCTCACCACACGGCAGTGTCGGCACTGGCACTTGGGGCTCGGACAGCACCCTCTCACCGTCATAATACTAATAATCAGTGAAGTACTTCACCACGCTGGATGTCAGGGCGTCCGTCATAACTTGCTGCACGAAAAGAGGATTCAGACCAGGACTCGAGGTGTGGCTTGACGCGTCCACCTGATGAGCATCACGGAATTGGAATATCAAAAGGGTCTTGCTCGCTGTGGAACATCGCTGGTATGCGGCGTCGTCCAGCCCAGGAGCATCGACGCGTGTCGAGCACGCGAGCAACACAGCCACAATTGCCGCGGGTTCCCAGAGAACAACAATACAAAAAGTGGTTCGACTGCTTGTATATGTATAGGCGCTGGGACGATGGCCTGTTTCTCGACTGATCTTCATGAGCCCATAGCAAGCGTCTCTTGCGCCGGAAGTTCTATTTTCTTACGACCTCGCCACGAATATTCACGACATTAAAGCCGGCTGTCTCGCGGTCGACATACCCTCCGAGCACTGTGCCACTCAGTCTCCCAAGACAGCCGACAACGAGGGTTGTCTCGGGCGACGTCGTCCTCGCGCATTCCATCCCGGACCGCCGCCAGCCTCGATCCAAATCCCAACCGCCTCAAAAAGCCCGCAGCGGCTGACGATGGGCTCGTCGTAACTCTGCCTCGAATCCATCGCTCGACGTCTGCAACATCCTCCCGTTCTGATCAAGCGCACACCAAGTCCCCTTTATGCCCGCTCCCCGCAATGTCGGTGACCGTAGTGGCGGGCCCTCCAGGCTCGTCAGTCTCCTAGCTATTATCCTCGGCTGCCTCGGCATCATCCTCGTAGGTGGCTTCTTTGACTAGCGCGCAACCGCTGACGATGGATCTCAGAGCATGACTACGTACTGGATAGCACGAGCCATCCCGGGCCTCAAGATGAAGATGCCCGCCAACCGGGACCCCTCCTGCCCCTCCGCCCGCCCCCTGCACCGCCGCGCGATCTCCGAGACCCCCGCGCGCGCAATGTCCCGCACCGCGTCCAAGTCGCCCAAGCGCGTCTCCTTCAGCGACGACGACGGCACCGCCGACGCCGGGCCCAGCCCGCGCTCGTCCATCAGCTCTGCCCGCTCCTCCGACACCGCCTGCTCCGCGCTCTCCGCGCGCTCCTCGTCCAAGACGTCGCACGACCCCTTCGCCGCGCCCGCGGGCACCTCGACGCTCGCGGGGCTCTTCTCCGCCGACAGCCCCATCCGCCTCCCCAACATCCTCAAGCCGAAGCGCATGCGCTCCGGCTCCGAGAGCTCCGCCTCGGACGCGGGCTCGCCCACCCCCGCGCCCAGGGGCACCGCCGCAGCCAAGCCTGCGCCAGTGGCCGAAGCCGACGAGCCCCGCCCCGCGGCGAGCAGGACGCAGTCGCGCGCGAGCGTGCGGATGGCGAGGGAAGACGTGCGCCCGCCGCGGCGCGCGCAGTCGCTCGTCGCGAGCGAGCGCGTGGGGAAGATGAAGCGCGTGAGCGCGGACAGCGGCGAGCTGTATTACTCCGGCTTCGAGAACCCGTTCAAGCTGCGCGAGCGCCGCGCGTCGGCGCTCTCACGGAAGCGCGGGGCGCTGGGGAGGAGGGTCGCGAGCATCTTTTCTACCCCTCCCTCCGGGTGCGACCAGACGGACAAGGACTCGGTGTCGGCGAGCACGGTGTCCGCGGACTCGGATACGACCAGGGTGTCTGTGTCTTCGTCTGCCTCGCGGCGTAGCAAATCAAGCTCGCTATTCGCGAAATTCGTCCCTTCGTCCGCTGGCAAGCAAAGCATCCCGGCGTCATGACAAGAGACGTGTAATTTATTATTGTAGGTCGGTCGGGCTCTATTCTGACTTTATGCTCAGAATCCACAACGCCCGCGCATATACACATACATACAACCCGCATCTCGGTAATACCACAGTAGAGTCTCGGTAATTGGATACGCTGTATTATAGTTCAAGTGACGTACCACAACCAGAGTGGGCACGAAGAGTCATGATGTATTTTATGTATCTCACGACGGAATTATGGATCGTCCTTGGGAGAAAGACATCCATTGTGAAGTGGTTGTTACAGATTGTTGGTGAGTCCGTCGCCGGCCAGCAAAGCCGAGATGGCTTGGATGATCGGGCTGTCGCGCTTTGAGCTCAGCGTCGTCCCTTCTTCCATGCACCGCTGCAGCTGGGCGTCCAGCAGACGGCTACGGAAGCGTGTATGCGGTCAGGATATGCTTGGGCTGAAGGCTTTACTGAAGGCTTACCGGAGCTGGTTGACTAGCACACCTATGCGGGGCCACGCGCGCAGCTTGATAAAGGCGTCTTTGCTCGCGATCGTCAGCCCGCCGCCGACGTGGTTCACCGAAAGGCGACCACCGAATAATAGCAACGCATACAAAGGGACCTTGCAATAACGTACTAGTTAGGATTTGCCGCAAAGCGTATGCAGGCCAAACTCACCTCCGTCGCATCCCTCAAAAACATCTTCGTCGTCATGCTCTTCTGGAAATACGCCAGGAACGGGCTGCGCCACGCCGTCGCGCCAAACAGCACCGACCCGGGGTGGAGGAACACCCTTCCCTCCCTCAGATCGTACATCTTGTACTCCTTCGCCACGTTCTCGCGCTGCACCGTCCCCGCCTGCACGCGGTCGAACTTGATCGCCGACCGCGGGAGGTGCACGCGCGCGACGCGCGGCCAGAGCCCGCCGAGGATGCAGGCTTTGACGAGGTTCTCGTTGCTGCTGTGCGTGTTTAGCTGGGCGTCGGAGGGCGTGGCGCGGAAGGGGATGAAGCCAATTTCGGAGAGCGCAGAGAGGAAGTCTTGCCGGAGGGTGGTGATCTCGCGAATTGTCGCGGGGGAGATGAAGTTCTAGGGAGGACAGTCAGGGTGATCAGGGGGTGAGGTGGGAGATGTGACGGACGGACCTCGTCGCAGAAGGCTTTGATAGCACCGGCAGATTTGCCTTCCGAGCGGAGGCGCGCGCATTCGTTGTATGCGTGCACGTCCGTCAGGAGGTCGCTGTTGCCGGTCGCAAAGCGAATTCTCGCTCTAACAGGGGGCATATCAACAGCCGCATGCAGCGCAGAGGAGACACGTACTGGGTGGCTTCTTCGCGCTTATCCATTGGGTTAAGGAACAGCGGTTTGCACGACAGGCAGGCGGCCACGTCGAGGACTGGCCCGAGACATTGGAAGATCGTCCCCAGGATTAACATCTACAGTGTCCCGTGTTAAAGCCAAGCCACCAACGGATATTCTGAAGAGCCACCTTCGCAAGCCGTAGGTCAACGGGCAGCATCGACTGCGCAGAATTAGTTACTGCGGATAGGACTAGACCTTGTACGAGTATACTCACCATATGCCGACCCAAGGCCGTCAGCCTGCCATTTTCGTCTATGGCTTCCAAGTCCTCTAACACCGACCAAGCATTATCCAAAGCCGCTATGGCAGGCGGATCGATGGCTCGTGTAAGGAATCGCTGGTGGGACTATCGTAAATGATGTCCCCCAGACAAGAGCGAAAGAGCTTCACCTTCACGTCCTCCTCCTCTCGCATGGCCTTTACTGTCAGGCATAACTGCTCCAGGGGTACCCGCAGAATCTCAGGAACTGGGAACTCGAGCAGCGTCCGCTCGTGGTCCCTGGTGTACAGCTTGTAACAGAAACCGGGCTGAGTCCTTCCGGCTCTGCCTCGCCTCTGCCTAGCTGCAGCACGAGTGACCCACTTTTCCACCAGTTTCGTCAGCCCACTGTCATGGTCGTATTCGGTCTCTTTGACTTTGCCAGCGTCGATCACATAGACGATGTCGTCGATGGTGATCGACGTCTGAAGTATGCTCTAAGACGAGAGGAAACACGAAAGCTCTGCGCACTCACCTCAGCTACATTCGTTGCTACCACAATCTTCCATTTTGATGTTGGAAGAAAAACTCTACGCTGTTCTTCGCTCGACAGGTTGGCGTGTAGCGGCAGAATGTCCGCGTCTACTCTTGTTGCCACAGAGCCCACTGCCTCCATACACTGGCGTATTTCCTGTACACCAGGCAGGAAAATTAACATACCGGCTCGTTTAGAAGCGGTCGCCATGATATGTTTCACGGTATGAGCAATTAACTATGTGATAGGTATTCAGTGGCCATGATGCTGGGCTTGGCTTGATACGCTCATACCTGATAATCTATCCTGCCTGAGCGCGATATTGAGTCAATCGCTGCAACACTCTGGTCGTCCAGGTCCTGTGCTCTGAGTTTCTCCTGGAAAGGACGCCTCGCGTCTTCCTTCTCCTTCTTACCAAGCTTCGGTGGAGTGGGTCTGTAGTCGACTCGAGGTACAATATCCTCCAGATACCTGAGCGTCGGGTCCAGGACTCATACATTATCGGTAGGTAGCGGAGCAGAACTGGTAACTCACAAATCAGTCACGGGATGCGTGAAGCCTGGTATGCTGAGTAAAGGCGCGCCATTAAAGTACCGCACGAACGTCTCATGGTTAATCGTGGCAGACATTAGGATCACCTTCAGGTTCGGATTACTTTCTAGTATCTCCTTGAGCTCTAGGAGTAAAAAGTCTCCGTCTACTGAACGCTCGTGGACCTGACATGTGTATGAGTAACTCGGTGAACTTATGTAAATGATACCTCACGGACCTCATCGACAATAATGTGTGAAACGCCCTGCAGGTTATCACCACCACTTAGCCGGCGAAGGACCACACCAGTCGTGCAGAACAATATCTTGGTGCGGGCACTTTGCTTACTCTCGCCTCGAATCGCATATCCTACTGAGCCGTCATCCAAGCGCTCAGCAGAGACACGGGCCGCAACGGAGATGGCAGAGATTCGTCGTGGCTGGGTTACCAAAATGGATGCACTTGCGCCACGGTCGCCGAGTATCAAGGAGTCGAGGATGAACTGGGGAACTAAAGCAATCCAGAATACCATCAGATTTGGACGTGCTGAGGGAGAGAAATACTCACGTTGTGTAGTCTTGCCACTGCCTGTAGTTTAATCAGCCATGACGGACTCGGCGGAAGGACAAAGGTCTCGCCTGTCTCTCCGACCACCACCACGACACGATTCGCTTGCACAAGTCGGACGAATTCATCTTGCGACTTGAACGCCGGTAATTTCGAGCGTGAAGCCTGTACAGTACTGTATTTATCGGTGCGTCGCAGGGCTTCATATTCTTCTTTAATCTGCGAATTCGTCCGGGTGTCTCTTCTGCCAGCTGCTCTTTTGTGTCTTGGCGTACGTGCGCTTTCAGCCTTGCCTCCTTCATCCACATGGTGGTCGGAAGACTGTTGAATCAAGGGCGGGGATTGGAATAATAGGTGCCTCAGGACACTAGACATGTCAGGCGGGCCGTGGTCTTCTATACTAGCCCATCCCTCCTCCAGAAATCTGAGCGTGGCAGTGAAGAATCCCTCTCCAGGCTGTATCAAGGTGTCAGATCTGAAGACTCGGAGCAGCTCCGCGAGCAGGTGCAGTCTGATGTAAGCAGCGACGGTGCTACAAGTGATATACATTGGTGGAGGGCTTGCGCTAGTCGGGTAAGGTGCTCCGCGCGAGTGAATGGCATGAAGCTTGAGTGGTGACGTGAATAAGGATATGACAATCTCAGAGTCATTAACGTAGCGGGCGTCAATGGAATCCAGTTCCTCCAGATCCACCGGTCGAGAGTTCTCCGCGTTGGGTACGGTTGAATCCCAAAAGTCGCCAGTAAGCCTTTGATTGAGTCGTCTGATGAGCTCTTCCCAATCTGGAGGAGACTCTGAAGAAGCCATGCAGTCCTTAACAGCCTTCGCTGGCCAGCCCGCTTCTTTCACAGCCTTGTCTTCCATCCACCTTCTTTTCAAGTCGTCAGTCCCAGAATGTGCCGCCCTGACGAAGGAGTTCGAGGAATTGTTCTCCGGAAGGAACCTTGCCGGCAAGTCACACTCAGGCACGTTCAAGACCAGGTACTCGATAGCGGCCTCCAGATACGTCGATGTGCGCAGTAACGCAGATGCGGATGGTGACGGGGTCGAGAGGAACGAGATGGCGTTTCGGCATTGCGAAGCACTGAAGCCCAGGCGAGATAACTGCTGCTGTAAAGCGCCCTTTTCGTCTTCCGGAAGAATCGCAGGCTCCTCTACTTCAGGGTACTCAGTAAATGCCTGTAAGAATGTCAAATAGGTTTGGCAAATAGGATCTAGGGTAGGGACATACTCTCTTTATACAGGTTTCGACCTGCTCACGCAGGCTCCCGGCCATCTTGACTTCTGGAGCACTGGCAAATTCAGGGGATACCTGCCCGCCTCTTCGCTCTTCTGAGACGGATTGGCTCTTCTGTTCTTTTCGCTGAGCTGCCTGAGCTTGTCGCTCTTCCACAGCCTTTTTGGCGGCGAAAGGGTCGGGATCATACATCCACTTCTGGTGATCTGGCGCAGTTTTATGTTCGGCTGCCAACTCATTCCAGTAATCACGGGGCCCAGGAGGAAGTTGCATATTGAGCTGGATGTTGTTGCAGAACTAGCGAACGCAAAGTAAATGACCAAACTCTCCTCAGTTATCGGAAACGAACACGATACAAAGCGTACGTCGCACCCCAGTGTCGAGCTTCTAGTGCTGTCGGCATAAGCTTAGGCGGATGAGGCTCCATACGGACTGACTCTGTCTGGGACGTCTTTTTATTCAATCGAGAGAGAGTTACTATGAAGTGATATTTATCGGCTCTCCTCGGCTATATACCCTCAGCAAAACGTGTCATACGGAGATATAAAGCCTTACAGTATCGACTATTGGCTTCTCCCAGCCGTTCTTCTGACATCTGCGATCCTCATAAGCCTCATCGTAAAAGAATGCCCCAGTGGATGCGTACGACATCGTCAACAAGCCCACATGACAAGGGCTTGGTCCGTTTAGTGTTCCTACCTTTCGGATAACAGACTGAGAGGGTACTTGTATCCCGGAGGGAACAAAGCCTTGACTCCTTCGGTTGCTGGCTGGGCTTCTCCCGAGGTATTTTTTGGCTTTGAGGAATTTCCAGCGTTTCCGCTCTTGACGATGCCCCTTCTAGGTGGCATGGCTTCGCAGACAGCAGACTGAACGTAAGCTTGCTGGGATCGGCGAAGTGATAGGAAAGTGAGATTTGTCAGCAAGTACGGACGCTTCTCCGCCACTGTGCATCTCTCTCTTGGCCACATTCTCGCTATGGCCGAAGACGACATATACAACCTCGAGTTCCTCTCTCTAGTAAATAGGATCACCCAGGAGGTCAACAACTATACCGGTCTAAATGATGCAACCATTGCCGAGTTCGTAATCGACCTACATGACTCGTCGAGCAGTCTTCCGGACTTCAAGACCAAACTCAAGGAAAACGGCGCGGACTTTCCTGAATCATTCATTGAAAATGTCGATCGTCTGATTCTTACCATGCATCCGAAGCATAGGAAGAAGTCTGCGCCCACAGGTGACGGAGCTGATGGCACCGGTGACAAGGAGAACCTCGATGAGAAGGACAAGCAGAGGCGTTTGTTCCCTGGTCTGGCCAAGCAGGATCAAGAGTGGGAGCCCTCGATACAAAAGGATGTTCTAATGAAGGAGGTGGACGATATGATGGCCCAGTTCGAGAGTACTGCGAAGAGGCCCCGACCTGTGGAACGCGAGAGATCTCCCAAGCGTCAGAGACGGTCATCGCGTTCACGCTCACCATCAAGACAACGTAGTGATAGTCCTCCCAGAGGTAGAGGCTATGACAGAAGAGGGGATACACACGGTCGGAATGGCGATAGAGGACGGCGTGCGCTGGATGAAAGGCCGGTGCTGTACAAGATCTACGATGGACGTGTGTCCGGTCTCAAGGAGTTTGGTGCTTTCGTTCAGCTGGAGGGCGTTGCAGGTCGAGTGGAAGGTACGTTTGTCGATTCTATAATATATACCTCTCCACTGATACTGACCGCCTGTCTGAACAGGTATGGTGCATGTCTCGAATATCCAGGTTGGGATGCGTGCCAACGCAGCCGCTGACTTGCTGCGACGTGGGCAGAATGTCAAAGTAAAGGTCATGAGCGTGGCTGGCAATCGAGTGGGGCTATCCATGAAGGACGTGGATCAAACTACTGGTCGCGACCTTACTCCCCATTTGCGTATCAAGTCTGAAGCTGAGATGGAGGAGGAGCGACAACGCGCGGCTCGTGGGGCATCTTCTGGCGCTAACGCAGTTCCAGTGGGAGCACATACCGAGCCGGTGCGGTCTGCGAAGCGCCTGACGTCTCCAGAGCGATGGGAGATCAAACAGCTCATCTCATCTGGTGCCCTCGACCCATCTGAATACCCTGATCTCGACGAAGAGTTCACGAATCCTCTCGCTCGTGCTGAAGTGGAGGAAGAGTTGGACGTCGAGGTCAAGGAAGAGGAGCCGCCGTTCTTGGCGGGACAGACGAAACGAACGCTGGACCTGAGTCCGGTTAAAATCGTTAAAGCGCCGGATGGCTCACTCAACAGGGCTGCACTGGCTGGCGCTTCCCTAGCTAAAGAACGTCGTGAGTTGAGACAACAAGAAGCCAACGAACAGGCCGACTCTGAAGCTCGGGACTTCAGTGCTCCTTGGCTGGACCCTATGGCCAAAGAGCAGGAGAGGATGTTCGCGCAGGATTTACGTGGTAATATCAAAGGCCAGAAAGCGGGCGAGGTCCCTCAGTGGCGGGCCGCTACTTTTAACAAGGCTACGACGTACGGTGAAATTACGCAGTTGAGTCTGCAAGAACAAAGGAAGAGTTTGCCCATTTACAAACTGCGGGACGCCCTTCTTCAAGCTATCCGAGAGGTAGGCGTTGATTTTACTAGCAGTTTAAGTTGCCTGAAGCTGATTTCTTTGCAGCATCAAGTCCTAATTGTCGTCGGCGACACCGGTTCAGGGAAGACTACCCAAATGACTCAGTATCTCGCGGAGGATGGGTATGCCGAGAGGGGTCGGATAGGCTGTACGCAACCGCGTCGTGTGGCCGCAATGTCTGTTGCCAAACGTGTAGCGGAGGAAGTCGGATGCCGTCTCGGCCAAGAGGTCGGATACACTATCCGTTTCGAGGACTGCACAAGCCCAGAGACCAAGATCAAATATATGACTGATGGTATGCTGCAAAGAGAGTGTCTAATAGACCCTCTGGTCAGCTCATACTCCGTTATTATGCTGGACGAGGCCCACGAGCGGACAATTGCTACCGATGTATTGTTTGGTCTCCTCAAGAGTGAGTAAAACAACGCTTCTATCAATAATTGCATAATACTGACTTCCAATAGAGGCTGTTCAAAGGCGTCCTGACCTCAAGTTGATTGTAACGTCTGCCACTCTGGACGCCGAGAAGTTTTCGAAGTACTTCTTCGGTTGTCCCATCTTCACAATCCCCGGACGAACGTATCCAGTGGAGATCCTCTACACCAAGGAGCCTGAGACTGACTACCTCGACGCTTCCCTCATCACTGTCATGCAGATCCACCTTTCCGAGCCTCCTGGTGATATCTTGCTGTTCCTGACGGGTCAGGAGGAGATTGATACTGCATGCGAAATCCTATTCGAACGCATGAAGGCCTTAGGACCAAAAGTGCCCGAGCTCATCATCTTGCCTATCTACTCTGCCCTCCCCTCTGAGGTGCAATCAAGGGTATTCGAGCCCACACCTCCGGGAGCTCGAAAGGTTGTCATCGCGACCAACGTCGCGGAGACGAGCCTTACCATTCCAGGCATCTACTATGTGATAGACCCTGGATTCGCGAAACAGAATGCTTACGATCCTCGGCTGGGCATGGACTCTTTGATCGTTATGCCTATATCGCAGGCGCAAGCCCGTCAGCGAGCCGGTCGTGCGGGTCGGACAGGTCCAGGAAAATGTTATCGCTTGTACACCGAGGCAGCATACCGCAATGAAATGCTGCCTAACTCCATTCCGGATATCCAACGAACCAACCTCGCCCATACAATCCTAATGCTGAAAGCTATGGGTGTGAACGACCTTCTTAGCTTCGATTTCATGGACCCGCCCCCAGCGCAGACGATGTTGCAGGCCATGGAGACGCTGTATGCGCTATCTGCATTAGATGATGAGGGTTTGCTAACCCGACTCGGTCGTAAGATGGCTGATTTCCCGATGGAGCCTAAGGAGTCTAAGATGCTTATCGCCTCTGTCGAGCTCGGATGCTCGGAGGAGATTCTGTCCATCGTTGCTATGCTTTCGGTTCAAAGCGTCTTCTACCGGCCAAAGGACAAACAGGGTCAAGCGGACTCGAAGAAGGCGAAGTTCCATCAGCCTGAAGGGGACCATCTAACACTGCTCACTGTATATAACGGGTGGAAAGCAAGCAACTTTTCCAACCCGTGGTGTTATGAGAACTTCATCCAGGCGCGAAGTATGCGTCGAGCTCAAGATGTACGGAAGCAGTTATTAGGAATCATGGATCGGTATGTTGTGTCCGCGTGTAGCTGACTGCAATTCGAGACTAACTATGTGCTACAGGTACAAGCATGATATTATATCCGCTGGTCGCGATTACAACCGGGTCCGGAAAGCCATCTGCTCAGGATTCTTCCGCAACGCGGCTAAGAAGGATCCTCAGGAGGGGTACAAAACTCTGGTTGAAGGCACACCCGTCTACATTCACCCATCATCTGCCCTGTTCAACCGGGCGCCGGAGTGGCTTGTATACCACGAGCTGGTACTCACCACGAGAGAGTACTGCCACAATGTCACTGCGATAGAGCCCAAGTGGCTTGTGGAAGTTGCACCACAATTCTTCAAGGTCTCAGACCCCACGAAGATTAGCAAACGGAAGAAGCAGGAGAAGATTGAGCCTCTGTTCAATAAGGTACGTTTGCCTGTCGACTGTCGTCTGACTTCGGATAGGGTCCTGATTATTTCTATAGTACGAGAAACCAGACGAGTGGCGGTTGTCCAAGGTCAAGCGGAGTGCACGCTCGAGTCAGACGTTTGGTTGATCTGGACTTCGTCATGCTGTTATTGCTTGTACCATATGTATTCTACTCGCATCATTTATAATGTTGCTCGCTCTACCACATAACCCCGCACACCATGATGTCCTCTTTCTCCCTTTCTATGTACAGCCACGCCGGCTTCTCCATAGCCACTCAGAGCCCATTGAGGGGTCGGCCTCGATTGATTGTTCGTACCAGACCTAAGTTTGATTGCGTGATGCATTGAGAAGTTGGACTACACTGCACCGGACACAGCAAATGCCGGGTTGTTCTGAACAATATTCGTACACGGTGTTCAAAGCATAGTATACTGCAGACAATGAGCAAATTTAAGCAGAGATATAATACATATCACTCACCAGTCGCTGGGTATAATAGACCACAGACAAAATATAACTCCGGTGTAGGTCCGCGACAATAACGGTGCACTGGATCCAGAGCACGTGCGGAACTAGTGACAGGCTCCTTCAGCCAACAAATCGCATTGCATCCGCCCCGACATAATATTTCGCAACTTCCCCGGGTTTGGCGGGAGGTGCGGTGGGATCAGGCACCAGCATAAACGTCTGTGAGAACACCCGGGGTTGTCCTTCGATTGAACCGCGAGGTGTCGATGCAGGGTTGCCGGCTGGTCCTTTCCCATGTGTCACTGTTCCTGAGACACTAATAAGGAGGGATGGAGGTTGATTGCCTACGCAGGCACGTTCAGCAAGCTATGCTGATAGATTCAGAGACTACAGTACACACCAGGGATAGGGTGACAATCATAAGATTGTACCTCATGTTTCGTACTCGGCATGCGCTCCATCAACGACTTCACTCCCTCCGAGCCCTGGAATGGATTGCCGTTCCATGTCAAGGTCGAGGTTGCGCGGTAGAAATTTGGCAAGTCGTCCACTCGCGTCGCCGAGTCGTACGTGGTATAGTACAGGCGCGTGAACTGATCCGCAGCGCGAGCCGCAATTTCGATACTGCAATCATGACTTAGCAGCTGCAAGATATCAGAGGACAGGAATGCTTACTCGCTAGACGTGAAGGTACTCATAGCTGTAGTTGTAGTGGCTGAGATAGACAGACTGGATCGATTTCGAATTCCCGCTACCGTTGGTAGTGGGTCTTGGACCCCCCGGCCGTTCGCAGGTTTCCTGCGATCGTTTCCAGCAATCGGCGAAACGATAGAGAAGTTTGAGATTTTCCGCACTCAACAGCCGCTCCACGGCTTACTTATTGGAGTAGGGTATCACCAATTTTGCTCCGCTAATGCTGTGTCCTGATCAAAACAAGAGTGGTGAGTCGTGGTGCACTGTGGACCCGAGTGGGGTATAATTACCTTTCCGGGCTCGGCTGCCTGCGCGAAAGATTCTGAAAGTTCTCTATCGTTTCGCCGATTGCTGTCAAGATCTACGCGATCTATTTGATACTATTTGGCTCTTAACCGTATATGGCGGACGGCAGGACCGGCACACGGCTTTGGACCAATCAAAGATGGGGTCCTCAAAGGACCCCGATCGTAAAACCACGTGGCGTCTCTCTTTCCATCTTTAGCCAAGGTGGCGGATGCTGGTCAAGGGACTCAAGAGAACAGACATGACCTAGCTTGGGGCGTTGGAGATGCGGTCTCCAGGTGAAAGCAGCATACTTTAATGTCAGCTGTTTTACATAAATGACTTGTATACTCAGAACCTGAGGGAGGAGTGAGTGGACATCTCTTCAAATCGTTGAGGTGAATGCTCAGTCGGAAATCATGGCTGGAACACAACTGCTTTCGCAAAATAAATATATTAGTATATGATGCTGCTCAGGATGTCAAGTTTTCAGCTTGCTACCAAATCTTATCTATGTCTACGGTAGCGGGCTCTGCCGCTCGCACGGCCCTACCGCCTTATTTACGCGCCAATTACGTCACGTGAGCGTTCCCGACATACCCCCGCGCCACGCGCACTCAGGCCCGTCGACGGGTGAGGCTCACAGCGTGTGGAGTTCTATGTATGTCGCACAACGACAGCCACGAAAATGACACCGTTCTCGCACAATTTACCATGTCCGATACTAAGCTGCGTGTCTTGACGCTGAATTGCTGGTGCGTTCTTCATCAAACATCACTGTACAAACCCCGATCTAACGTGCCAGACGTGCAGGGGACTGAAGTATGTCTCGAAGAATCGAGTCGAACGGATGGCGGGCATCGCCAAGGCACTCGCTGCGTCCGACTACGATATAGTGGCCTTGCAGGAGGTCTGGGTGTCCGCGGACTATGCGCTTATTCGAAGCAGCGTCGCTGGACGTCTGCCATATGCCAAATACTTCTACAGGTGCATCCATGTTTCATGATCTCCTGCTGAACATTCACCCTTAGAGTGACTGGTCACTTCCTCCAGCGGTGCTCTGGGTGCTGGGCTGGCTATATTTTCTCGCTTCCCTATTATCGGGACCACGATACATCCATACTCCCTTAATGGCTCTCCGATAGACGTCGTTGCCGGCGACTGGTTCGTGGGCAAAGCGGCAGCCAGCATCCTGATCGCCCATCCACTTCTTGGTCAACTACAGGTTTACAATACACACGTTTGTTGATGCCGTTTCGTTTTATGTCTGCTCTTCCTCACTTCTTCCTCACAGTTATTCGCCAAGGGCGGTGAGAGCGGCCCGGAAATAAACCAAGCTCACCGCCTCATTAACGCATGGGAACTTGCAAAGTTGGCTAGACAGTCTGCGGAACTTGGTCGATATGTCATCGCTGTGAGTGGACTCTATATGTTGCGGAATACTCGTGTGAGACATATCGTGCCCAATAGTGCGGAGACTTTAACACCATCCCGACATCTCTTCCCATGACCGTAATTTCCGAACACGCTGGTTTAATGGATTCTTGGCGAGCTACGCACCCTCAATCCCATCTGGCTCCGAATTCCGCGCCGATATCCCCTGTGGATGCTATTCGAATGCACGGGGTTTCCGCGGATTCTCCTCTGAACAGCTACTCTGGCGGGAAGTCCCTTGAAGCACATGCACGCAGGTTTGCCGGAAAAAGACTCGACTATGTCTGGTTCAGAGAACCGGTTAGCTCGGGCAAAGACAAGCCAGCGTTGCTATGCACGGATACTAAGGTCGTGTTCACGGACGAAGTACCGGGCAAGACCTTCTCTTTCTCAGACCACTTTGGAGTAGAGTCGACCTTCGAAATCCGAGTGCCTCCGTCTTCTTCGACACAAACGGACTTCCAAAACGAGGTTGGCCTTGTCCGGTCCGCTATTCCTGACCGAGCCCCAGCTGCAGGCTCGTCTACTTCCACGGAGTCCGTCGAACCGACGCCCACTTCCCTTTCGCCTACGTCATTGAACAACATTCTCACCACGCTCACGGCAGCCTACCGCACATCCGTCCAGCGCGCACGGTATCACCTGACAATATTTATTCTATGCCTGTTCCTGGTCATCGTCTTGGTTGTTCTGTTCCCATTCCTCCCCAGCGCGTTCCCGTCGCCTTTGACTTCAGGATGGAAGTGGACCTACCGGGCCTTGAGCTGGATCTACGGAGTTGTGATCGTCGCTCTCAGCTGGCTTGCTACCACCATGCTATATGTGGGTTTTGTGTATGGCCGGTGGGAAGTGAATGCCCTTACGAACGTGATCGAGGAGATGGAAATACTACGAAGTCTGAAGGGGTCTAGATATGAGAGCCGGTCCAGTGAAGACGGCGCGGAGTGAGCGCTGGGGACTGGGGCGCTTGGTTTATTCAAGGACATGTTCGCATTACAACCTAACCTTGTCTCGCTGCAATACATTCCGAACTTATACTGGGGCTTCGTAATGCAGGACATTTTGAATGTTGCGTAGGGTAGTGTAGAGTTTGCATATGTATTCTTCCGTCCGAGCGTACTGTATATCAGTGGACCCATATGGACCGATACAGCGTTTGGTCACAGGGCCAGATAATCAGATAGACGAGGATAGATGCAAGCGAGCCGCCTTCACGCGCGCATCAGCGGGGCATCAGACGAGACAAGATCAGCACTGCCAGGAACGGTCTTCCAGGAAAGATCTCTCGACAACGTCGAAGCAAGTGGATGCTTCGACCACCGGCTGGATTCACGCGAGAATACCCGTCCACATTGATGCGCTCTGATGCATCTTGATTCAGAGGAGATACGATGTTGAGGACCGAGAGTCGTTGGGTTTGACAGGCGTATGGACGGCGAAGACTTCGAGCATGAATACGAAATATATATAATACAGACATGATAAATGGTGGGAGGGCGCTCGGCCTGCTTGTTCTCGTTGGGCTGCAGCCAAACCCTCGTTCCTTGAAACCTCGATCGAGCGGGATTACTTGTGTGTATGCGATACAGTGTTGAAACGCGGCGGATTTCACGAGCTTCAGTACCTACCAGCAGCCTGTGACTGAGCTCAGAGGATCCCGCTATTGCAACCTCCAGCGGGTGATACAAGAGATGTTGTGATACGCGAGCCGTACCTCCGGGCTCGAAAGGGCTCGAAGGCCCGCGCACAAGCGCAGCGTTTGTTCAGGGTATTGAGGTCGGCCAACCCTAGCGTGCCCTGGCCAACCCTCTGCCCATGTACTTTCGCCGACGGCGAGCTGTCCTGATGCTGACGGGGCTTCTAAAGATACCGACCTTGAACGATACCTTTATTCTCGCGATGGGAAAAGATGGGAGTTGTACTCACGACTGAGGACAGTCTGGCGCCACGGAGCTCTTGACTGGTAATTCAAGTCCAGGGGTTTAGACATAAATTCCGCGGGCCGACGTCGAGGTGCAAAGAAAACGTCAAGGTGCCAGACATAAGACGGTCATGAACGTGATGAATGGTAGTCTCTGCCATTAAAGTCGACGAAGACGCGCATCTTGCATCTCTCCGACTATCCAGGTGCCTATATCTGTCAAAGCCAAGGCAGACGCGCGGAGGTTGTACGGAGAAGATGGGACGCGGTATTATCATTGCTGCCGGCAGGTGGCGCAGAAGGCGCAGTGGATGTGCAAAGAGCATATGAAAGGCCTGCTATAATTGGTCAGTCGGTATATAAACACGAACAGCTCACAGTGTACTCTGATGAGGGTAACGTTGGATAGTTGCCCTTGGCGATTCCTGCGGTGCTGCGAAGAGTATCATACATCCTTGCAAGCAAAGAGTATAACCTTACGGTTGAGGAGTCCTTAAGCAACTATTCCAGAGAGAAAAGGTGTCGATTATACTTCACCGGCGTCTTTGGCGAAGGGTTCTGTACTATACGCCTGGATGCATGATTAATGATTGCCGGCGCTTCCAACGAAATAGGCGACTCACTCCTGACAATCCCCCTCAGTTGATACTGCGCAAGCATGTAAAAGCACCCCGTATGTCGACGGGATATATTTGGGACCTTCGCAGCGGTGGCTGCCATGGGGGATGCGGTATACTTTTAACTATGTTAAGCTCTTGAGAGCATCAAGCCCTCCGCATGCTGCGTGATCAGCACAAACAACTGAGGATCGTCTGTAGCGGCAGACCGTGAATGCATACTGTCGTAAGTCTCGCCAACGCGGCGCACAGAATAGGTTGGCGAAAGCCATCGATATCAGCGACATTTCCGAACGCATGCCACATTATCGAGCCAGAGTACCAGATTCTGATCTCGGCATCACCGGCCGGGGAGCCCCATTGGTCCGCAGCCGTAGCCCACTCGCCGGGCCTCCGCAGAAAACTTGTCGCAACCTCAACGTCTCGCATACGATCTTCGAGTGTGGCAGGAGTTAGCTAACCCGATGTCTCCATCTGCCTTGCAGATTGCTCTGTGATCCGCAAAATGCAGCTGTATCGCATGCTAAAGAGCCCTTGGGACGATGAGTATCCGAGCACTGCTCTCGGAAGCGCTCGCCTCCGGCGGCACCACGACGCCTGCAGGACGTCCATCGCCCAGCTCGAAGCTAAGCATCTCAGATCGGGCTGCCAGATAGGCTGCACGACTGGCACAACTCGCTTTCACCGCCGCTCAGCGGTTCCGTAGATCTTCCTGCATGGATCCTCCCTCTTGCTTCAGCTCTTAGCTGGCGTCGCAGAATTCCAGCCACCTCTGCCAAAACGAGCAATCGCAAAACAGGGTGGAGGTCCCCTGCGGACCCCGCACGCAAACGCCTACCTTAACGGCAATCGGTTAATGCGGGATTGGATATTCGGCCACTTTGAGGGTCCCAATAGATTTTCGGTTTCCAGACGAAAACCCGCGGGGCAGCGCCCCGCGCCCTCCCCCCAAGCGTCATTGTTACTAATTTCTCGGGGAGGACAGCCAATGGGTGAGCCAAACCGCAAATTTTTCTTTTCCTAGTCTAGACTCTACACCCGGGTTGTCCGGGGCGGATAGTCCCCTCACAGAGACTCATTGGGCTGCGGTGAGTCCTCGCTTTACATACCGACCGAATGGGGGTGAGAGGCCAAGGTTGGCTCGTACGTTATACATGCACATGAAGCCAAGAGATTAGCATTCAGTTCGTATATACGCATGGACATACTAAATGCATTAAATCCGCGGATTGGCGACGATGACCGACAGATGCCCAATAAACTAGGCGGTGAGTAAGGAAAGCGTGCGTCCGTGTCGGCGTCTCGCATTCAGATGCAAAGCGCGAAGGCATGACGCCCATCGAACGTTAGAACCCGGAGAGGCGTTTCGCGTGGGGGAACGAGAAGGTTTCCCGGCCTTCGCGGTCCCTTACACTCGGACCAGTCGTGTTCACGGGTTTGAATGCGGAACAGTCGCGCTGAATACGAACGGCACCATGAAATCACCACGAGCAGCGGTGAAGGGGAAGCCGGGCGAGCGATGACCTGTTTTTAACACGACTTCGGGAAATGTCCGATATTGATGATGATCCATGGCCGGGTGTCCAAACAATCCGCTCTACAATGACGATAATTTCGGTTTCCGAGTTGACAGGAACAGATGAGAGCGAGTCTAAACATAGCCCGGGCGTTTGTCAGGGTATGAAAGGACGGCACTGAAGGAGTTGAAAGCCAGGTCCTGGATATGATTGCTTGCGGAAGGCGAGGCACGCGAAAGTAATGATTGGGCTATAAATGCGCCAATCGCGGATATAGGGATTCGATTGACTGGATATAGCTAGATGCGAAGCGAGAGGCATTGAACGTGTCGTGAATCCGTTTGCAGGTCGTCGAGATGCCAGTCCACGTTGTCGGACGGACGATCGTGCCTAAGACAGAGTCGACGAGGCGTCGACGGGGTTGGCATCTTCTAGACGGGTGTCTGATTGAGCACCGGCGGTAAACGCTGCTGACAGCTCTTGCATGGAAAGCGACACTATCGTTGGACGAGCGCTCTTAACCAGGGCTGGCAGAGGCGACTTGGCCGTAGAAGGCACTGTAGCAGGGAACATTACCATCTGGAATGCATTCAACGTGTAGACAGATATTAAACAAGACTGGAACAGGAAGTGCCCGAGGATCAGCCGTGGGCAAGGGTTGGACTGCATAGTAGCGGTGTCTCGGTTACAGAGGGCGTAGGGCTGCCGAGCGGTACGTAAGGCGGAAAGACCCTTGTGGGCGTGTTATTATGGAGGATTTGCGGAAATAAAGGGAAACGGAAGAGCCGAAAGTCACGGTCGGCAGTTGAGCGAGGACGGGGAGAAAGAGGGAGGCGAAAGCAAAAGGGCAGAGGTCACGCTATAGCGAAGCTCGGACGCCGTTCGGGGTGCTTCGGGTGGTGGGAGGAATGGGTTGGGTTTGACGAGGTGACCCGCCCATCTTCGAATGCTAGGGAAACGTTCACGAGGACTTTGCGTCTGGCGGGCGGTATTCTCATAAGGCAAGATCAAAGGCCAGGATTCTGCCGTCGCTGCAACACGAGAATTCGAAGCAACGATGATAGTATGAGGTAGTTTATTCATGTATTGAGCTCTGAGCTCATTAGCCTGTATACAGAGCAGGGTTAGACGCCTCGAAATGTAGGAAATGAGCGGCGGGGATGGGTCGGGCGATGGCGAGGGACCATCAGCTCTGGAGATTGGTGGGAGTGGAGCGCTGGCGAGGCCCGCAGGTGGGACTGGGGGATCACGATTCGGTGTCCTTCCCGATCGGGCAGGAAGCACCCAATCGAGGGAGACGACCGTCGGTAGAACCCGAGAATAAAGTTTGCGAGGGAATTACCCAATCGGCGTGATATGTTGACGTGGGGATGTGATTCCAGAAAGCATCACGAAAGAGAATACAGGGTCGCGTCCTTCTATAAATCACGGCAGTTATGCACTCCCCTCGCCCGTCCCTTTTCCCCCGTCCTCGCCGCCATCCACATCCCCCGCGTCATCCCCCCACTGCCCGACGCGTTACCGACGCGTCTTACAGCGCGCCATGGACAGCTACGACACGGACACCGCCATCGACCATCTCTTCTCCAGCGAACACACCACCAGAGACGCCGTGACGCGCATACACAACTGGATATCCTCCCAGGCCATCGAACACCCGGAGGCTGCCATTCGCGACTCTGTCCTCGATCCGGACTTTGACCTCGAAGACGCGGACGCGTGCCCCACATACGACCCGCAGCTCTTCTCGTCACCCTCGTGTCCGAATCTGTCCCGCGCGTCGTCCTTCACGCGACGGAAGGAGGCCCAAGTAGAATGGGAACAGCTCATGAAGAGCGCGACTCCCCAGTACTGGGTAGATCGCGTGATTTCACCCAAGTCTAGCAGGGGGAACATGTCGCGAGACAAGGTAATCAAATTCCTGTAGTCAACTATACCAAGCGGCTAACGTCTTCTTTCAGCCTCTGCCTGATCCCCCTCCATTTGACGCAGACTTGGCTGACCCATTTTTCCCGTCCTCGCCGGCGCCAACCGTCTCCAGCTTTGCCTCCGCGTCAACAAGCACAACCCCTCCACTCTCGCGTGCTGCTTCTCACAAGTCGCTGCGCAAGCCCCGCCTCTCGCGTTCCATATCCTCTTCCCGGTTCCCCTCCATTAGCACTACCCTCTCTGGTCCGCCTGTGGATGAGGAGGCTCCGCGTACCCGGGACCAAAGCCCCGCGCTTTACGCGTTTCCTGCGGTCCCTGACGCTGATCTGAACACGCGTCTTCCCCAGTTGCCTCCGACGCAACCTCTTCGCCTCCCTATACGGAGGAAGAATAGCAATCACCCCAATGATAGTACGGTGACGCTCACAGGAACCCCATCGACCCCGACAAGCTCATTCTTTCCATCTGTTTCATCTTCTCCGCATGCATCGCTCTCAACAATTACCACTCCTGCTCTGACTGACAGTGGTTCCCCTTCCTCCTCCACATCATCACGTGCACCGCGAGCCATCCCTTCTGCATTGTCTCTCTTTCATCTTCCTTCTCGTTCAAATCTCAAGTCTCCATCAAGTCCCACTTCTGCAGTCGATGAACGTAGTCAACATCGCTATCCTCATCATGCGTTCTCCGCTTCGTCATCCAGTTATCCCTCTCCCTGCGAAGTAGCCACCCCTCTCTCCACTACGTCGACTTCTCGCTGGTCCTATGCCAGCTCTGAGCCTGACTTAACTCTGGCGTCTGCTCCGGTCTCACCGTCATCATCCGTTTTCCCCAGTTTGAATGGGACAAAGCAGAGGATCCGAAACAAGAGCTTCCATTTCCCTTCTCTGAGTCTGCCTCCAGTGCTCGGCGGAGAAAGGAAGAAAAAGCTGGTTATCAACGGCGTGCCTGCCGGAGACTCGCGGGCGACCGAGGCAGTCAGACGCTGGTGCGAGAGCCATGGAGAAGTGTCACGCTTCCAATGGAAGCCCGATGGCCTGCACGTTCATTTCCGGAAAACTAGCGTGGCCGACACTGTGAGTACCGTGGATCATTCAATATTTCTCGAGCTGTCTTCCTGATCTATATATGCGCTCAGGTATGCCGCTTGCAAGCTCAAGTGGAAATCAAGGGCGCCGGGAGCGTCAGTCTTTCCTGGTACCAAGGCAAGCGTCGGCCATAGCGCCGGATTGTCCTGCACCTGCATCTGCACTTTTTATCTTCGTATGTTGTCGCAGTGTTGTCCAAGTGTACTCTTGATGTAACAAAAGTAGAATCTGTCTTCTACACAGACCACCCACATTGACACTATCACGTTCGCTTGTCACTACTCACGCTCGTTTGTTGCTATTGTTTTCTGTATTACTGTATGTTTTTGGGGTAGATCCTGGATAGAGGTTTTTTGGTGTCGCAGGGACCAGTACCACAGGCTATCCACATGCATGTACGTGTACATATCAAGTATAACGCCCGATGTAGTTAGGAACTACATACCTACCTTTGAATTGATAATTGGAAGTAAACACTGTGTACTCATTCACCGGTGTGAAGCATAACATCGCATTGCGAATGAATATGGATGTAAAACATACGTGATTGTAAGTAATATTAACAGTGGATGTTCTGTCCGTATTGCAATAGTGAATGCGAGAGATGATGCTATACAACCAGTCCGTGAGATTACAGAGATGACAGGTAGCATGAATACTGGCAGGAAGGTATACGTGCGTGAAAGTGAGAAATGCCGAAATCCTTATCTTCCCGTAAGAGAGAAGGATTTAGACTTGGACCGGCCCCCGGAGGGACCACCGTCGGCATGCCTGAAGCTGACAGTCCTATTAGCTGGCCCCGACGTCTCCCACTGTTTGCAGAGGGTGGAGATATCGGCATGGCTCGAAGTCGACCGTCGTATGGACGGCTTGGGCGGTCTCACCGTAGATGGAGTGATATTGAAGGCCGACATACGCACGTGAGGATGTGGGACATGGAACTTGGACGACTGATGGTGGTCGTTCTCCTCGTCATCCGTGGGGTCCCTATGTGACCGATTGGACAGAGTTCGATGGTGGTTCCGCGCCGCTTTCTCGCCCAGGAACGACAACGCAGACCCAATGCGACGCAAGCGGCTCTTGGATGGGGTCCCGCGACCACTGGAAGGCGTCGTTGCCCGCCCTTTGCCGCCGGGCGCCTCGGTGTCACTGCCGTCCTCCTCGTCAGTCGCTGGCGGAGACGGCCACGGCGACTCCTTGGTCGGCCCCCAGCTTGGATCCTCGTCGCTCGACCGTGCTTCAGCTTCCGCGCGCGCCTCCGCGTCGCGCTTTTCCTTCTCCACGTCATGGGTAGGCGCAGAGGTCTCGAGACCGTCACCCCGGACCATGCGCGCCTTGTCGTTGTCGATCTCTTGCTCGAGCTCGGCTTCTGCCGCCTCGTCCAAGAACTGAGGTGTATGTGCCTGCATGACGTCGCGGACAAATTCACGGCACGATTCGAAGGATTTGCGGGTAGCGTCGAAGAACGGGAACATCTGAAACACGTGGATCTTCAATAGGGATCAGCATAATGCGCTATAAATTCCTCCGATGGTCAAGGAACTTACAGCGTCCTCATACAACTCATGTCGGACTTCAACACCCGCTAAACTTGCTTTGTGCGCGAGCAGTGTGATTTCGTCCCGGAGGACTTCTGCGTCTCCAGCTGTCACGAGCAAAGGGGGAAGACCCTTGAAGTCTCCGAACAGCGGACTGGCATATGGATGCGTCAAATATCTTTCCATATGCTCTCCCAGGTAGCAAGCTACCGGGTCGAGGTGGTCGCCCAAATTCGGTCTCGGGACTACATCGAACTCTGCGTTGGTGTCCCAGGATTCACAGCTCATGGTAAGATCTATCACATTGTCAGCACCTGCTACTCGGGAGAGTGTGAGCTGAACTACGCACCGACCCATGGGGAGAAGCAGATTGCAGCGGCCGGGAGTGGGTAGTTGTTGTCCCGCAGGTACATGAGGAGAGCAAGGGTCAAACCCCCACCAGCGCTATCACCGGCAATTAAAATGTTCTCGGGCGGGATATGCAGATCGTCGATCAGCCTGAAATAGGCGGACACTGCATCATGCAAAGGACCAGGGAAGCGAGTTTCAGGAGCAAGCCGGTAGTCGATTGCTGTATAGAGGACACATTGAGGACTAGCTGGCTATGATAGATTGTGAAGGACATACCAAAGACTCTAGCATCGCTATATTTAGAGAGGGGTATAGTTATTAGGCGATGTGTAGCTGCACTAAACACATAGTAGGCGCCTGCGTAAAGTTCAGATACTGAGCCACGTGAAAACAGTGGGAGAATTGCCAGTACTAACCTCCATGCAAGTAAAGTATGACCCTTTCTTTACGCTTAGGCTGGTTTAAATCAGGTTCCGACGAAGTCGAACCGGAGCTCTTCTTGCGCGAGAGCTTCCATTCAGCCTGCAACCTCTTCCAGAGCTTCTTCCCGACCACCCACTCGCCGGACAGCTCACGTGTGCCATCCTCGGCTTCGTCGTACTCAGCAAGAATTCCCCGTAGTTTGCGCTTCTTGACGCGGAAGGTCACGGGGGTAACAAGAGCGTCCGAGGGCAAGGGCGCCAACCCCCCAATGCTCATGAGCATGCGGATGGTCGCCTGAGGCAAACGTGTTATCATGGGACTCCGAGTCGGGAAGGTATAGCAGGACATACGATGTCCACTAGCTGCGAGTGCTTACCAGCATTCCGCATGAAGCTGGTCAGCAGTGTCATTTCAATGCCCCACGACTTCCTCCGAGGACCCCATAACTGGTGGGCTATAACATCGCCGACGATGTCTTTAGCTAGAAGATTGGAAGGCAATCAGCGTTGTTGCTCGGAGGGTGCATGGCGGGCGAAGGATTATTCCCTGGGTGCACGGTCCTATGTAAGACGCAGGTTATCCCTGGTCACTCCAAAGGGCGCGGTGACGCACGCCGTCCCCCCTCGATCCATTTAGGTATGACACTCGGACACTCACTTTTTGTGGCGGCGAATGCACCATACTTCCAGAGGTCCCATATACTGAACGGTTGGCTCTCCTGTTGTTTCACTTTTGGATCCACGCGAGCAGATGGTGGGGGCTTGCCGTTAGCCTCATAGTGTTGCAGCAACTTAGACACAGATTTCTCGCGTTGCAGGCCTTTCTTGTCATTGTCAGCCTTTTCAGGCTCTGACCCGGAGAGTATGGAGAACGGCCAAGGGAGTAAGGAAGCCATGTCGCGGACGAAGAGCATGCACCTTAGCCAGATCTAAGCTTGAAAATGAAATTCTTCTATGAGGGCTTATGGTATTATACAGCAGTTCTAGCAGGTCAGGAGATTATAGAAATACAGCGCCAACAGAGTGTCATGAGGAACAGGAAAGAGAGAGAACACAACGGAAAGGCCGCACCATGCATCCACAGCGGCCACCGGTGCGTACGCGTCACATGCGGTACTTAGATCATCTGCGCTTCGCTTCCTTTTGGAGCCTCCTCGGAACTACTCATCTGTCCGAAAGCTTGTTGATTGGACTATCAATCAACAATACTAGGAAGGCTGAGACATCCAAACCGATGCTGGTCAACGTTGAAGCTGGCCACCAAAATTACAATGTGTACAGGGGGATCTGCTACACACTATACATAGGCCATTGTCCCCATTGTTTGCGAACAGTCTGTTACAGTCACAGGACGCAGGTCCGCAGAGCTCCGCCGTATGTACACGGAACAAGAACCAAAGTCTGAGGCCAACCAAAAGAACCGGGCAAGTCCACCACAACAGATCATGTGCGCAACCAGCGCACCTTTGCAGACCATATCAGTAATCATCTCCTCGGCTGACAACCTCTTTCACTGTCGGCCGTAGCAAAATAGTGTGCTCCTGCATAGAACTTAGCGTATCGATGAAAGGAAACGGTTTGGCCAGACGTACGAATTGGGCGGTCATCGAACCACGTTGGTCATGGAGCGGTGGGTATGTCTGCACAATACCTTGAGCCACCAGGTGATTGAGCTGAAGCCCAAGAAAGTGAGTCTCTGTCAGGAGAATAAGGCCCGCAAACTTACAGCGAGCAAGTACTTGCTCTCCCCCAATCTATCCAAGTACCGACGGCAGAACGGGATCGTACCGAAGTTCTTATTTATGGTGTTCAGCAGGGATTTCGCTGACGTCAATCTATGGAACGAGGATAAGCAGTGTTGAGGCAGAGAACTTGAAGCAATCACCCTACCGGAGGGGCACATGGGGAGCATCATGACTTTTAGCATAATGTGAGCATTCTCCCTGGATGGATAATGTGAGAAGTCATAGTAAGACTGGCTCTATAGAAGAGACCTACGGCCTCGATAACCCTTCCTCTACCGGTAGATCCGAACGTCTCGATGGCGTAGTATTCGCCTTCTTCCATTTTTGTCTGGTCGTCGTTCTTCACTAGTAGAACTGACTTTCCCCCATGTATTTGGTACGGGTTGATGGAATGGCCGCTCAAATTCTCGATGGGTTTGACTGAATTCAAAGGTAAGCACGGTATCCCGTAACAAAGCCTAGCAGCATACCGGGATATGTTTTCCCGCCTACTTCCACCTCGTAGGACTCCATTGTTTCTTGGATGGCGGCTCCGATCTCGCCTAATCGAACGTCGATACCGGACTCCTGTTCATGAGAAAAGAAGTCTTTAATGAGAACACGCTCCCACACAGACTGCAAGAGGTTAGATTACCCGTATGCCCGTGTCTGTCGCTGCCCTGACAGCCTCCAGCAGTTTGTCGTATGTCGGCTCGAAGTTGAGCGTAAATGCAGAGTCGAGGATGCGACCCTTGACATGAACGCCGATATCAACTTTTAACACGTCTCCCTGCTGGAGCACTGAAGATTCGCCATTCGTAAACCTTAGACAGAACCACAGAGAGCATGGGACGTACCGATGGTATCTCCAGCGTTTGGTGTGTAGTGGGCAGCACAATTGTTCAGGCTCAAGCCCGTTGGGAAGCCCACACCCGCGTCGATTCCATCGCCTTCAACGAGGGCTCGAGTTCCGTCCTCAATATATTCGGCGATTTCCGTCATGGTGCGCCCAGGCTGGATGAATTTCTGGGCTGCCTTCCTGACCTGCCTGTGGACCTCTGCGGCCTTCCTGATGTTTTGGTATGTCGTTTCTGGGTCCTCCATGGCCATCCGATCGTTGTATCGCTTCTCCTCAGAGGTGGTTCGCCATGTATTACTAGAGAAATGTGATTTCGATCGATGAACGCCGATCTAAGTAGATAGGTCGTGAGGACGTACTCATCCTTGTACTCTTGGATCTCTCCCTCTGGAAAGTTGCCATCCGGGAAGAGCTTTGACAAGCCCACCCGGGGAGGGTCACTCTGCTCAACCTTCTTCTTCTTAGGCTTTTTCTTTTTCTTCTTCTTCTTGCCACCCTCACCTGCTGGCCGCTGTCAGCGACGATCGGAGCTTAGATGGGGATTCCACGCACCTCCGGCTCCAGCAGTCTCCCCAGCACCGTCCTCCTCGACATCGTCTTCCTCTGGGTCTGCCTGGTGGGGTGTCGGGGGATTCTCCTGGGGCGGGGCGCCGTCCGCTGCCGTGGTGCCGCTCATGGTGGTCCAAGTGAGACGAGTGAAAATCAAAATGGATGGATTCTCAGTGCAAACTTCACTGTCTGCTTTCTCGTGTGACTAAGCCGGACTCCACTTAGTAGGCTGCACGGACACGATTACAGTGAAATGTTCTATTCTGCGATAACTAGTACAAGTTCACATGAGGGTCGAGGTATACCACCTATATGGACCCACAAATTTTCGTTCCGCAGCATTAGGTTTCAGTGGACCAGCGACGGTGGACATGGTATGGTCGATATAGCAGCGCAAAGACCACTCACGCGACAGTATGTACCCCCATATGAAGCTCATTTAACCTATTCACCAACAGGGGTTGCGCATGCGGGGTTTGGGTCGAGGTTGTGGCGGCGTATTGTGCACGCGAGGCGGACTTCGGCTCCGGGACAGTACCGCCGGCAACAGGCACCACTGCATCGAACACGACTGCTTGTGTAACGTCAGGAACAATGTCGACCTATGATTCTCTGCACAGGCAATGTCAGACGCTGGAGTCGCTCTTCGACGTGAAACTCACTTCTTATTCCCGACTCGCGGCCACCGTAACATCTGGAGCGGATGTTGAAGCTGGAGGATCGGGTGAGCGGTGGAAAGACCTGGAGCTCGAGGTTGGGGACCTCCTGGAGAAGGTATGCGGGCTCGCCACCTCACTGACTAGCCAAAGCCCTGAGGACGGAAATTCATTGGGATATGGGAGAATAGCTTGGGGAGACGAATGACAAACTGTCGGAGCTTACGCACGACTCGGACAACCCGCTGTCGGCCTCCATGTTAAGAACAATACAGAGGCATCGTGAGATCTACAACGACTACGTCCGAGAGTTCAGGCGTACGAAGGTGTGCTTCGCTCCGCCTCGTATGGCAGCACGAACTTCCATGCTAACTACTTTGCCTCGCAGACGAATGTACAACATGCCTTGGATCAAGCGAACTTGCTAAGCGGGGTACGGAACGATATTGAGTATGTTCTACATTTAGCCTTCCATTTCCACCCATTATCTGACCGCTCCTTTCAAGTGCTTATAAGTCCTCAGCGGCAGATGCCCTTCTTGCCGAACGGGGTCGAATAGATAGCTCCCATCGGATGGCTGACGACGTCTTAGCGTGAGTAGCCATGTTTAACGTACCCTCTGCCCTCGTCTGACACTTTGAATTTAGACAAGCATACGAAACACGGGCAGAGTTTGGTCGGCAGCGGACGTCGCTGGCCAGCATCAATACCCGAATGGCGGGTGTCCTGAGTGAGTACCAAAACCAACTCATTGCTCGACCTTGAGCTTAGCGCATACACCATAGACACTATGCCAGGTATTAACAACCTTCTATCCATGATCAAGACTCGGCGGCGGCGAGACGCTGTCATCCTTGGCGTTATCATCGGACTATGTATCATAGCACTTTTGAGTTACACATTCCAGTAATGTATCAGTATACCCTCACTACACTCTAGTCTATCCATGCCAGTGTTCGGATTGTAATCCTTGTGCTTAATTGATACATATTGGACTATCGATACAATAATGTTCATGCTTCAACTACTACTGGGGAGCTCAGCTGTCCAGCTCTGAATCGTCACTCACCCACTCGTTCCTGTCCTTTGCCGACCTCATCCTCGACTTCCTATTACCACCCGTCACCCATTCAGGTTTCTTCGATTTCAGCGGCGAAGGGTGGTTACCCGCTTGGAATGCCTTCCAATTCTCCTCGAGCCTCTTCACGACCCCCCACTCCTCTTCTTTGCTACCGTCGTCGTAATCCCACTGCTCTTCTATTCGCCAACCTTTGAAGTTTGCTATGGTTCTGATCATATCCCATGTGTACGGGGCACAGTAGTTGACATCGTGAATGTCAGATTCGGCCAATAGCCGGTTGGCTGCGCAGGCTTTGATCAAAGCGACGTGGTTTGGTGAGCGACTGTTGATACAAGTAGACAACGAAAGGAAGACGTTCGGATGAACCCTCTACCAAAGCAGTTCAGGGCATACCCCAGTAACGCGAAAAGGGGGGTGCCCACCTCGATGTCTTTCCACATCTCGGGGCTCACTCCACAGCTGTGCAAGTCCACACTGATCTCCCACCAATTCTCCTTGAATTTCTCGCTCATGCTCTTCAGCAAGTCCGCAGTCGCTTGGTGGGCTTTCACGTCGTGCAAACTCACGTTCCTGCGCAGCTCCACCGCGACCTCCAGCTGAGCGGTCAAGACAGCCATCTGATGGTCTATGGGGATGGTAAAGGGCGAGAGCACCCGCGGGGTTGTGTTCGGGTCGAGGGGGACGCGGGCCGAGCGGTCCAGCCCGACTTCGCCGAGCATCGCGTGTGGAAAGGCGCGGAGGTTTGCACGGAGAGTGGAGACGAGGGAGGAGAGCGGGATGGGGTCTGGGATAGTGGGTAGCATGGCTTGAAGGGTTTCGGCATGTTTTTGGGAGGAATTTGCAAAGAGGGACTGGTAGTGTTGTTCTTTGGAGGCGGTTGGGTCCAGGGATATCCAGTGGGTGAACCAGGGATGATGACCTGGTGAAGAGAATCAGTATATGGCACAACTATGGTGTCGATGAAGCAACGACGCAAGAGAACAATTATATTTTTGAACTCCCCGTAGCGCGCAAATGCGGTGGCAGGCTGTCAAGGTGATACATTGCTTTAAGAGCCTCGCAGAAAAAGAAAACACAGCATTCGTTTCTTCGTATAAACCCGATGAAGTACTTCCGATAAGTGTCCGTGCTGCCAGGGCAACATATAGCCTGCCGCCGAAGAAGCAGAAAACACTTGTTCGCCCGTCCCCGCCCGGTAAGGGGGTGCAAAGTAGTCGAGTCTCGTATGATATGATAGAGTCGGGAGTGGAGCTCACCGAAGCATGGAATAACCTTGGACGGATACGCAGTGGCCAGGTCTGCTACCTTGGCTTGATCTGACTGTCGAGTCGCCATCGCACATATCTTGATGGGGAGCTTGTCCATGGATTCCGGCTGTATTGCGGTATCAGTGGGATGGCAATGAACGTCGACCACATGGGCAAGGACGGCGGGGCCAGGGAGAACGTCGAGCTGAGAGTACGTGTCAGACGCAAGGTCCGTCATTTGATATTCTCAATGGTGCCGAACGGTCCCTGCTTTGTTTGCGAAGATGATAGAATTTGTTTGAGGGAGGAATACGGTATCACAGCCTTCATCCATAGAACAGCAATGTTAAGATTTAGCTCTGGACAGATTCGCGAGAGGTGGATCACTTACTGTGGCAACTCGGAGTCAGCGGCGTTCAGGTTAGGATGTTTTGCGAAGCGGTTATAATAATTCAAGACTGCCAGCGGCATTACACCACCGAGAAAAAGTACGCTTGATTGTCGGCGCGCCGTTTACTGTTTGCTTGAAGGACTGGGTACAGCAGGCGAGAACAGTGTGTTACAGTACCTGTAGTGCACGTCGATCGATCACTCGGCAACCTTCCGAGCAGGCCCTTGGCCTTCAGCCACCGACAAATTCATCTTTGCTGCCCGCGTGCATGTTACCTTGCTGTCGCGCCCGCATCCTATTCAAATCAACCAGCCTCAGGCAGTTCTCGATGACCGGTATGCGACGCCGAAGCGAGCTTGATGCATCTCCACCGGTACACCGGGGGATGAAAGATACTTTGGACAAATCGGTATTTCGGAAAACTCTACCTGTACTGGCTGCGCGTGTCCCCTCTCCCAAAGCTGGTTTATTCCTCAAGTCGGAAGCTCTGAGAAGGTGTGCGTCATTACATTAATGATTTTTACGCGTCCAATCCGTCCCCCCTTTTCGTAGATCCATCATCAACTTGCCTAAGATCAGGAGTGTAGTCCCGGACCCAAGTGATTCGAAAGATACGCGACTGGTCCTGTTCAGGGTGTCAGAAAACGGTACGCTTCTTACGGTTGCTAGATCATCCGGATGATAGACTAATGGTTATTGCAAGGAAGCCGATCTTCCTCCTGAGGCCCAGGACTTCTTGCGGGAGCAGTCAGCAGATATCTTGAGATACAACCTAGACCTCAATTATGATTATTGGACAGCGGGTAAGTACATATTTTCAGTGCCTGTCGATCTGTTTCAAACACCTGTTTGCTTGCAGACGAGATATTGCATTCCGTACTTCCTGAAGAACTGTGCGAGGGTGCACCCTCCGGTTTTGCTATAACTGGACACATCGGTGAGCTTTCGTCTAGTGCTCCGTTTGACCGCGTTATCCTGAATTGTTATTAGCACACGTGAATCTTAATGATGAGTATCTTCCGTACAAACATGTTATTGGCCAAGTCATATTGGATGTGAGTGCTTCCATGGCCCTCTAGCACGACATTTTTTTTCTGACATGTCTGGCAAGTAGAAGAACAAGGCTGTCCGCACGGTTGTTAACAAGCTCAACTCCATAGACACCAAGTTCCGCTTTTTCAAGATGGAGCTTTTAGCCGGGGAGCCTGACTACGTTGTCGAGCATGTGCGTCTCATCTATTCTATAGTTCTCCAGTGTATATGACACCATTCCTAAGCACGAATCAGATTGTCGCTTCATATTCGACTTCACGAAGGTGTACTGGAATTCTCGCCTTCATACAGAACATGACCGGCTGGTACAGCTCTTCAAGCCTGAAGATGTCGTCGCGGATGTCTTCGCTGGAGTCGGGCCATTCGCTATACCAGCGGCGAAGAAAGGATGTGCTGTCGTTGCCAACGATCTCAACCCAGATAGTTATCTGTACCTCAAGAAAAATATAGAGCTTAATCATGTGCGTCGTGTTCCCTCCTCTTTGCGCTTAGTGCTCTGACATCACGTAGGTTTCGACGGTTGTCAGAGCGTACTGCGAGGATGGACGAGAGTTCATCAAAGCAGCGGTTCCCAGAGCACTGAATGAACCCTTTCCGCCGTACAAAAATCCCAAAGAAAACAAATCCAGGAATCGTCATAAATCATCATCCAATGTTCCGGTCCCGGTCCCGGCCCCCGAATTGCCCCCGCGCAAGCGAATATCACACTTCGTCATGAACCTACCGGACACTGCCATCGAGTTTCTGGACGCCTTCCGAGGAATTATGTCGGATTCAGCCAATGAGGAGGGTACGCGGGATTTGAGCGGGATTTACGACGTGATGCCGATGGTCCACTGTCACTGTTTCACGAGGGAGTTAGAGCCAGATAAGGCTGAGAAGGACATACGAGCGGTGAGTGGCGTTGTATCGGCGATACCATCTTTACTCAACGGTGATGCGCGCCAGAGAGTGCAACATAGGTTGGGGTACACGTTTACGGGCAGCGACGAGGTATCGCTCCACCTTGTTCGTTCGGTAGCCCCCAACAAGGATATGTACTGTATAAGTTTCAGGCTACCTCGAGAAGTAGCTTTTGCATGATGTAGATTCAATGTAGAATTACACAGTCGATTTCCTACTCCATTAGCATTCCCCGCACGCAGCCGGGGTGCCCCGATCACTTCGATTATATAACATTCCACTTTCAAGGTTATACCCCGCAACGTCAGACAGTCGAGGACCAGCTCTTTATTCCCCTCCGCCACTGGCCTGCCCGTCCGACTGCCTCTGTAGTGTCCCGGAAACCTACCGGAAAACTACCTGCCAGCGCACCCAGCGTACATATTCCGGGAACAAACACCTGTCTCTCTTTTTATACGGCTATACCCAGCATCACGCGACACGACCATAGGATGGTTTCTCTCAGGTTGCCTAATATCTTCCCGACGGCGCATTGCGACTCAGAGTCTGGGTCGCCGGCCCCTGGTTCTTCGTCTTCGTTCACGGGCTCTGCCGCGTCTGCGATTAGCACGGTCAGGAGCAGCGTCAAGAACGTAGTGACCGTCGGCGAATCGGAGCTGCAGCGATGGCGGCGGACGTTCGAGGCGAATGCAAAGACGGTCGTAGATGGGAAGAAGTTCGTCTTGTCTTTCTGTTCTTGGGACGCTCCTTAATTGGCGGTGCTTTGCTGTCTAGCTATCTGGATAGAGACCAGTTTGTGAATGCCATCGCGCCGACCGGGGACTTGTCCAAGATCGGACGCGCCCAGTTTGCTATCTTATTCCGTGTTGCTGACTCCTCGAGGCGGGGGCTGGTGTCTTGGGACGACTTCGTTGTGTTCGAGACGCTGCTGAAGAGGCCGGACGCGGACTATTGGATAGCCTTCCAGTACTTTGACGTGTGAGTGGTATTCCCATTCAGACTGGAGGAAAGAGTTCTGAACGGTTGGTACAGTGATAGATCTGGAACCATTGACTTCAATGAATTCAAGAATGTGTTCATGGCAAACGTAGAGTCCACTTCTATTCCATTTGACTTTGATTGGTGGGTGTTAGCGTTTGCGCGGTCGTATGCACTCGATTGAACCCCCCGCAGCGACTGGGTTAAATTATACCTTGGCAAGAAAAATGGAACACACGTGCTAGGATGTATGTATCATGAGCCCCGCACCTTGCAAGAGCTCGGCTGCTCACAATTTGGCAGATACGGAGTTTACACAATTAATGAAGGGGTTCCAAGGCGAGCGTTTACGACAAGCCTTCAAATACCTGGATAAAGATCAAGATGGATACATTCGGCCTGAGCATTTTAAACAGATCATCCTAGTGCGTTTGCGCCGTTCAAGGAGCATCGGATTGAAGTTTATGACTTTGGCTAGGAAATCGCTGGTCACAAACTCTCGGACGCCGTCATAGAGAGACTCCCAACCCTAACCACGCTTAGCCCTGGTGGCCGCATTTCATACTCGGAAGTCGTTGCATTCCACAATGTCCTTAGAGGTGGGCCTACTCAAAACATTGCTAATAATAATCGACATATACATATTCCATTTACAATTCAGAGATGGATATGGTCGAGCGGTAAGGATTGTCCGTATGTTTCCACTGTCACCGCTGATTGTCCTGTCTTAGCGTCATCCGGGAAGCGACGGCGAAGTCTAAAGACGGACGCATAAGCCAAACAGATTTCATAGACTACTCAGCCGCCAATTCTAGATACTCGCTGTTCACTCCGATGGAAGCGTCCATCATCTTCCACTTTGTGGGGCGCGGAAACCCGACTGCGCGGCTTGCACTTGTGGACTTCGCCCAACTGCTCGACCCCCGGTGGAGGGCACCTCGGGAAGAGGTAGAAGAGAAGGCCGCGCGGAGCACTACCATGACGGTTGTGCATGAGATCGCCAATAGCATCTACAACTTCGGCTTAGGAGGTCAGTGATTTCGAGTTGGTTATTCTACTAGTATTGAGATCCCGTACCTTACAGGTGTTGCTGGGGCTTTCGGTGCCACGATCGTATATCCCATTGATCTTGGTATGTTCCCTTTTGTCTGCTATACAGGCAACTTGATGCTTATCCTATCTTAGTCAAGGTATGGTCCGCAGTGCTTTGATGGATCCTGTTGACGTCTCTGATTTCTTTCGATGATTCCGTAGACCCGGTGAGTATCATCGTATCGATATATTCTAGTTGGCTGATCTCGATTCTTCAGTATGCAGAACCAGCGGAGCACAATAGTTGGTCAACTCCTGTATAAGAACAGTCTAGACTGCGTACAGAAAGTGTTCCGGAATGAAGGCATATTAGGGTTCTATCGTGGTCTGGGGCCGCAATTAATTGTGAGACATCGCCTCAGATTGGGTCGGGGAATCCAGTGTTAATCCTCCGACAGGGCGTAGCGCCGGAGAAGGCGATCAAGTTGACTGTGAACGATCTCATCCGTGGTCGCGCAAAGGACCCGGAGACAGGCCGTATTGAATTAGTCTGGGAACTCTTCGCTGGTGGTATGGCCGGAGGATGTCAAGTGGTATGTGGCAGTCCTCGCCGTTGTAGAGCTCCGTGTAACTGTTGTCTGCAGATATTCACCAACCCACTGGAAATTGTGTAGGTAGCGAGTATCTCTTGACGAAGCTGGCTGACGGTTTCTCAGAAAAATCCGGCTTCAAGTTCAAGGAGAAGCCGCTAAAGCGGAGGGCGCTGTGCCGAGAGGTGCCGTCCATATTGTGCGCTCTCTGGGACTTGTCGGGCTGTACAAGGGAGCCAGCGCCTGCTTGCTACGAGATATCCCGTTCTCCGCAATCTATTTCCCCGCATACTGGCACTTGAAGAAGGACGTCTTTCAGGAAGGTTATAACGGCAAGCAGCTGTCGTTCATGGAGACATTGAGTTCCGCCGCTATCGCGTACGTGTCGAAGTATGCATAGCATGTCCTGATTGACTGATGGATCATCTTTCTTGGATCACAGGGGTATGCCAGCCGCATACTTCACGACTCCAGCAGGTATATTGACAGGAGTATCAATGGGGGCACAGACTGATGCACTTTCATAGACGTTGTCAAGACCCGTCTGCAAGTGGAAGCTAGGAAAGGCCAGACGACGTACAAAGGAATGGCTGATGCTTTCGCAACAATATGTTCGTAATTTCATGGCATTAATGGCGGCACGGGTGCAGATCTGACTGGGCGCTCGGTCGGTCGGTGATCAGATCAGGAAGAGGGTTTCCGCGCGTTCTTCAAAGGCGGTCCGGCGCGTGTTTTACGAAGCAGTCCGCAGTTCGGCTTCACTCTACTGGCGTATGAGTATCTTCACAAGGTGAGTGTCCACCTATCTATAGGAAGGCTGACGTGGGTAATGATTTCGTTACTCTTTCGCAGTTCTTGCCTGTAAGTACCCGGCCATGGCTGTGACCACGTGGCGAACACTGATGAACGTTGATTTTGCAGTACCCCGGCAAGGAGCAGCCACAACCCGTCGGAAGTCTTCTCACGTCACGACCTGAAGACATGTCGAAAGTACGTGCGCGAAATGCACTCAAGATTCTGCTGGACGTACATGGGGACTTCGGGCGCCGGGCGGCGGGGAGCCAGTCGCCATTGGCTACTTCGGTGCCGTCGTCGTCGATACCAGCGTAGAAGTCTAGATAGGTTCGATACTACGCACGTAGGCTTGGCATTGTAATGGACTGTGCCGTGCGGCCTTTCCGCCGCATTGTGCTCCGGAGGGCCGGGCAATAAACAGGCCTGCAAGGTCCAATCAGCGGACTGGACCAATCGCAGGACGAGCAGGGGACTGGCAGTGCAGAAATGCCGTGGGTCACCTTAGAGACAGCTTACTACCGGACTGCCATCATCCTTCCCCCGAGATGTCCTGCAGCCGTGGGAGCTTTGATGGGCTGATCTGTTGCGAGGGCTGCTCCTCAAATACCCTCACATCCCTTTCTCTCCCTACCCCCTCCTTCGCCTTCGTCTCCGTCTTTTTCGTCTTCGGCCTCCCTCTTTTTTCTTGGCGGTGAGTCGCTAAATTGTCGGTGCTGGGCAGTACTCATTCCACAGCAGAGCGCTTGCGTTCGACGAGCCCGCCCACCGCTACTTGTTTGCTGCCAGACAGCGACTCGACGCCCAGCGTAGACCGCTATCATTCGTTTTCACTTCACGCCTCTTTCCGATCCCAAGGACTCGACTAGTACACTTCCTCCCATTTACTACCACTGTCTTTCATAATGGCTGCTACCCTTGCAATCGGTCTCTCGCTTGTCGGCGCTGCCGCCGCACAGATGGTGAACGGCTTCTCCTCCGTTCCCATGATGTCTGCTCCTGCCTCGACTTCAGCAGCTGCCAGTGCCTCCTCATCTGCGGCAGCCTACGGATCATCCTCCGCCGACTCCTATGGATCGTATGGATCATCCTCTGCAGCAGCCTACGGTTCCTCCTCGCAACCCGCTTACACCGGGTCCGCATCGTCATCTGCGGCTGCTTCCATGTACACCTCCCCTCCCGCTTCCTCCTCGTCCATGGACGTCTATTCCATGATGCCGTACTCTTCCTTCATGTCTGGCGGTTACAAGAGCCTCAGCTGTGGGTATGGCTACCAGAAGATGGGTGATGGCTCCTGCCAGCCCATGTCCTGGGTAAGGACCACTTCCGCGCTTCATCCGAATTTTCCCAATTGATGGGTATCTGTAGTGGTCGGCGTCTGGATGCTACGAGACGATCATCATCAACAACAGTGGAGGGAGCTGTGGTGGCGGCGGGTATGGTTACGGCGGCGGTAGCACTGTCACCGTGACCATGACCGAAGCAGTGACCAAGACTATGGCGGTTACGCAAACGCAAGTCCAAACGCAAGTTCAGACCCAGGTTCAAACGCAGACCATGACCAAGACGATGACCGAGGTATGTCCATTCTTTAACGCGACGGTACAAGTCGAAATTCAATCCTATCCAGACAATGACCGTACCCACCACCGTGACCATGACCCAAACCATGGAACACACTCAAACCCAGGTCCAGACGAAGACGGACACCGCGTCGGTAACAAAAACTGAGATCATGACCTCCACTGAGCTCGTCCCCACGACGCGTGTCTGGGTTTCCACTGAAATCATCGACAAGACCAAGACGCAGGAGCATACCCTGACCGCCACGGAAACCAAGACGCAGGTCAACGTTTATACCCAGACCAACACTAAGACGGACACTGCGACGCAGACCGTCAAGCAGACCGAGACTGACTTCGTCACCAAGACCGAGCTCAAGACGATTGTGCAGCCCACGACGTACACCAGCGTCTGGGTCAGCACGAAGGTCATCGATAACGTAAGCGGGATTACCATCCAGACTAGGGTTGCCACTAATGGTCTACATTCCAATCCAGACCAAGACTGTCGAGGAGACTCAGACCGCCACTGTGACCGATAAGATGACGCTCGTGTCCACTCAAGTCTCGACGGCTACTGCTACGGCCACCAAGACCGAGACTGATAAGATGACTGTTACCGAGCTCAAGACGATGGTGCAGCCCACCACCATCACTTCAGTCTGGAAGCAGACGGTCACTATGGATGAGGTATGGCATCTCATGCTGAGGCTGCGTACCCTACTGACTAGTTACTGCTCGTTAGACTATGACTCAAGTCAACACTATCACGTCCACGCTGGTGAAGGACATGACGTTCACTCAGACCCAGACGTACCTGTCCACCGCGACGCAGACTCAGACCGCCACCCAGACTGAGACTGCGACTGCTACCCAGACGGTCCAGGAGACCCAGCTCGCCTCTTGCTTGCAATCGGTAAGTAACTGTAACGCTGTCGTGTTGCACAGTTGTCATTGACGATGACATGAAACCAGTGCAAGAGCAGCTACACGATGACGATGGGTAACAGCGGTGGCTACACGTACGCGACCACGTCCACCATCACTCCCTCCTCCAGCATGGCCATGGCGACCCAGGGCTGCTCCGGCGGCTCGTGCGGACAGGCGAGCTCTTCATCTGCCATGGGCTGCTCTGGCGGCTCGTGCGGTGAAGCCAGCTCCTCCGCCATGGGCTGCTCCGGCGGCTCGTGCAGTCAGGCGACCTCGTCTGCCAACAGCTGCTCCGGCGGCTCTTGCGGTGATGCCAAGTCCACCGCGTCTTCTGCGATGGCCAGCTCGACGTCCGCTAGCTCGTACGGCGGATGCTCGTCTGGCAACTGTTAATAACCGGACGTTCCACTCTGCTCTGGACTTGCTTTGATTTATCGGGTCTTCGGGTCCTGTTCTGACATCGGACATCTTCATGGGTGCATAGTTTGCTTTGGCTCGGACGGACCTGTTCTTTTAGGTTAAGCATACCTCGAGGCTGGCAGTGCGTAGTATTTTGATTCTTGAAGATAGTTGTACTGTTGCTCCTCCTTAATTCGCTATAGGAGTGTAGTGTTTTTTGCTTCGCCCGCGGACGGTTTAGGGGGGTCTACGCCTGCCGTAATTACTAACGCTTCCCTTTCCTATCTTTGTACAAATCATGCCCCTCGAGCCCGTGGAGGCCGGGGAGGCGTGGCAATGGATGACACCTCGTTGCCATCTAATCTTAGCGACGCGAAGACTGGAAGACCCTGTACGGTGCAGGTCCAAATTAATAGAAGCTCCGGGAAGAGCGAAATGAAGGGGCGATAGAGTAGTAGGAGGTAGCTGCGTAGCGTCATAAAAAGATCGCTCTGAAGGTATAAATTGCAGCTGTTCCTGGTGGTCCAGCAACCAAATTTTTGCATTCCTGTCTCCGTCATATGACCCACATATCACTCTAGATGTCGTTTTCTATTGATTTGCAATATTAATGACGCTCTGGCCTAGCGTCCTCTTGGATCCCTCTTCACCGCGAACATTCACCCATGCCACTGCACGAGACCTCAGGTCCAGTTGACCCGGCCTCTCTCCTCCATGCCCCGGAGCAGTTCTTGATCTTTTATTCGTCGCGTGACGAGGAAGGCAAGCTTTGGTGTCCCGTAAGGAGTTCGAAAACTTATGACACGCTCGGACCGTGATTTATCCCGATTACCCAGGATTGCAGGGATGTCGAGCGCCTCATTAGAGATGAGTTCGATAAAGACAGTGGCCCCACGGGCCTCATCGTCTATGTTGGCCAGAAACCCGAGTAGGCATCCTTGACTTCCATACTTACCAACACACTTGACCAGAAGCGTACTAGATGGAAGACCCCATCCAACCGGTTCCGAGGAGATCCTTGGAAAATACACTCGATTCCTACGATTATCAAGAAACATGAGGTTAGTCCGGCCCTTGATAGAGACTTCGGTAATGATTTTGACCGGATTCGCGATACGTGCGGAACTGATCAGGGCAAGGAGCTTGGTAGACTAGTGGAGGCTGAGATAGAAGCAAAGCTGCCAGCTTTCATTGGCCGACCTGCTGCATAGCTATTTAACTCGATAAATAACGGGCGTCTTTCCCCATTTGCGACCTCGAGCCGAATCTCCCCAACGAAGCAGCATATGAAAAGGTTGTATATTCTTATCGATCGGCACCTTGAGACCTTCCAGGTCATTGCGGGTCTTGCACCTGCTTTCGCGGACCATGAAAATCGTTCATATTCACAGCGCCTACACAAAGGCTGTGAAAAGGACCGGTCCCTTATGAACGTGTACTTCGGTTTAGTAGCACGAGTTCAGACGCTGTGAGTCTCTTCTGATATAGATCTCATTGAAATGCACGGGTATATGATCAGGGTTGTGATGCCTCATGATTAACACAGCACCGGTCGTATAAAGGTGGCATAGCCTGAAGCTGTGAGCACCTCACAACAGTCCTGTCGGTCCGGAAGCACGCCCCTCATGGTTTTCCGTACCGACGACTGTGGCAAGGGCCGACAGGGAGTATCCGCCCGTGTCGTCGACTGTATTTCCTGGCCAGAAATACGCGCTCGCAAGATCAGAGACCGGGACGCACTGCTGGGGCGAAATGCACAATGGTGTCTGAAGGAGGACGTGCCTGAGCATATCAAAGATGTGTCTCAGGTACTCCAGGCTCACCTCACCGAACGAGAGAAGGAGATTGTGCACTGCGATGCTACGTCTCTAGTCGAGCGCCTTGCCTCTCGCCGCTACACTGCTACAGAAGTCATCAAAGCTGTACGTCTCTCCCCGTAGACATGATCCTCTCGATCAGGGCTGAATGGCATAATAGCACTGTCATGTAGCGACGATTAGCCAGGCGCTGACTAACTGTCTAACCGAGGTCTTCTTCGACGATGCTATAGCCCGAGCGGCTGAACTTGACAGACATATGGACGAGACCGGGCAGGTCTCAGGGCCCCTGCATGGCTTACCAGTGTCAATCAAAGATCATATCAACGTTAAAGGGCATGACACTTCAACTGGGTATATCGCTTGGGCCTATAATACCGTAGCAACCAAGGACGCGGTGACGGTGGAAATTCTGCGGAAAGCTGGCGCTGTGCTTTACGTGAAGACGGCAAACCCGCAGACGCTACTAGTTAGTGAATAAGGACAGTCTGTGCAATGCTCGAATGTGGGAATGCTGACCGTGTTCCCTAGTCCCTGGAGACCAATAATAATGTTTTCGGTCGGACCGTAAATCCATACAATCGAACGCTCACCCCTGGCGGGAGTAGCGGAGGAGAGAGCGCTCTGATAGCACTGCACGGCAGTCCTCTAGGTCTCGGAACTGATATCGGTGGTAGTATCGTGAGTGGTCAAGCGCGTCTGCACCAAGTATTGTGCTGAGAGCTGAGTAGCGCGTCCCTGCTGCGTACATGGGTCTATATGGGTTTAAAGCTTCAGTAGCCCGGATCCCTCACGCCGGACTAAGGGGTCCTCACGATGGCATGGAGGCAATCATCGGCGTCCTCGGGCCTCTTGCTAGATCCGCTCGTGATCTGGCTCTGTTCTGCCGCACGATGCTACAGTACGAACCATGGTTGATTGAGCCCCCGCTCCTGGAGATACCGTGGAAGCAGACCGTTGTTGATGGAGCTGATATCCCTCAGAGGCTCTGCTTTGCGATCTTATGGGACGATGGCGTTGTGAAACCGCATCCACCAATTCTTGATGCTCTACAGAGAACGAAGCGGGCCCTGCTAGCCGCTGGTCATGAAGTCATCAACTGGGTCCCTCTGGATCATCAAGCGGCATGGGATCTAATTGTGAGTCGCCTGTCAAGGTGGTGGCGTCAGGAATGCTGATAAGACTATGGAACTTAGGTGAAATTATATTTCCTCGATGGCGGTGAAGAATATAGAGAGCTTCAGATCAATGACCCGATGGTGCCCCAAACCGAATGGATCCTGAATCAAGTTCCTAATGGCGGAAAGCCTTTCACTGTTCGGGAGACCTTCCGGCTGAACGTCGAGAGGGAGACATTCCGATGCAGGGTTGCCGCGCATTGGAACGGTACGAAATCGCAGACCACTACGGGTAGACATGTGGATGCAGTTATCAGCCCCGCAGCGGCCACTCTAGCACCACCTCACGATACTACCAGATGGTGGGGTTATACGTCGTATTGGAACCTGGCAGATTATCCTGCCGCTGTATATCCTGTTGCCCATCACCGTGCAAGCCAGTATTCTCCACCAGACGTTTCTGCCGACATCACTTTACCCCAAGTCCCTCGCAATGATGTAGAGAGATTTGTGAACTCTCAGTGGGATCCTGAGATATATGATAATGCCCCAGTCAGTCTTCAGATTATAGGGAGGAGACTCAATGAAGAGAAGGTCTTGGGAATGTTAAATGTTGTGGACAGAGCATTGAATAATGTCCACAACTGAGTAGTGACCTGGAAGGGGTTCTGGTGTTATACTAGGCGAGCGTCGTTGTCTCCTCACTAGGTGGTAGTTACTTGTCAACTTATCCACTACTGCCAGAGTATGTATACGTTGCAGCCGCTCGAATGTATGACAACTATGTACGTGAGAATGGCCAGCGCCACAGAGTCGAGTAACAAATGTTTACGATGCCGAACGATCACTGCAAGTCGAGGAGGTCCATGGCCATGGACGCTATGGTGATGTCGCACGGCCATCACGACCACTGGATGACTTCCCGTAAGCATTTAGAATGCGTTTTGAGCAGTTCTAAATCTCTAAACGCATCAAGCCGAGATGCCGTCTTGTCACGCTCTCGCTTAGACCAAGTTTTGATGAGGCTCGTCGAGCAAAAACCGTCTCTAAACTTTAAATCTAGCAGGGGGGGTCGACCCCCCTTTCCAAATCTCCAGACGACTCTAAACGCTCGCTTAGCCTCGGTTGAGGTCCGCGTATCAAACCTGCCATCAGCACCTGCTAAATTGAGCGATCCGCTCGCCATAAATGGAAAGCGACCTCATGGTCGTGACTTGCAGTCGTCGAGCGTTGGTCTGGCATTACGGATGGGAGGAACAGTTCTATTTTTCCATTTCACCGTGGCAGCGAGTGTGACCAGGTACGCTGATGGCGTTTAGAACTGCGAAATCTAGGATTTTGGCTTACGGGAAGTCATCCACTTCCAGAGTTTCAAGGCGCAACTCTGTAGAACAGCCTCTGCACGTGCCCCACGG